ATATATTAAGACTGTAACTACAGCAACTCAAATAATGTGCAATAAAAAAAAAAAAAAAAAAAAAAACAAAAAACAACAACAAAAAACCCAAACGTTTAAAACAGAGTCTACACTGCTAAAGGATCTGCCCCAGGGAACTATCCTTATATATGCATCCACACCTCTCAAGATTACACGCCTCTAGAGTGAACTGGCTGTGTTTGTACTGCCTGGCACTTGACCTGGGTCCGATGCCCCTGTGGCTCTAAGACCATAATTATATTTTTGTGGCTTCAGTTCAAAGCGTCTGAGGTAATGTGAGGGCTGCTTTGCTGCCTGCAAGACTGGTGTTTTTATAGCATTATGCCAAAGGTATGCTGCATGCTGTGGGGTGGGGTATCCAGGGGGTGTCTGAGGGCAGGAGGCTAGCTGGGACAGCGTAGGGCAGGAGGAGCCAAAGCTGGTATAGTCCCGTCCTTGTTCTGTCATCCGTAGGGCACTCCATCCACAGAGCTGCACCTTGGCTTTTCCTTTGAGGGAAGTAGTTTCCTCCAGAGGAGAGCCCAAGCACAAAGTGATTCATGTGCGGTATGGCTGACAAGGGGACCAGGACCAGGGAATGAACCGGGGAGGTAAATTATTTGATGACATAGGTGCACCTAGCATAGTCACGAGCACTGAGGTGGCGGGTGAGTCGGGGAGAAGCCCCTCATTGCTCTTAATGTTGTTCTATGTTTTGCAGCAGATCTGTAGCACAGATGTTTTGCTGATCAAATTGATATTTGCTGGTCCCAGGGAACAATTTAATTGCTGATACGGCATGGGAGGGGGGGAGACTGGGCAGAGGATCTGAATAAACAAACAAAATGTCTTTCAGTCAAGTTGCTCTTGCTCGCACATGCTCTCTCTTTTTTAAAAAATGATCTCATCCTGTGTAAAAGTGTTGATTGAAAATGGGGTTTAATATGCAAGAGCAGTCTACCAGGTACAGACTGAAGACTGTTCTGAAAAATAGCAGGCTGAAGATGGATATCAGGGCTGAATATGATGGATTATGAAGGAAGACGTGACTGTAAAATTATAAGGATGCCAGTTGAGTAAGCTTTATTAGTTTAAAATGTATGGCAATCTCCTCTTCTTTTTCTTTGTGAGTTGTTTGCTTATTGGTCATGTCTTAGTGTTTTCCTATATTTTTATCTTCAAGTTAATTCCCTTCAAAATGATTCGCAATTATGATATTTTAAGACAACATCTTAAGATGGTTAATAGGATAGCACTGTGTCACTACTAGGGACTTAGGCACAGATAGGTATGAGCAATAGGGCAGAGGTGTGTGGTCTGCAGCATAAAGAGAGCACTCTCCAGTTTCATTCCTATTTGATGGTTTCCTTTCCAGACAGTAGTTCTGCTGTGAACCAGTATCCCTGTACTGGTAAAGAGAAGATGTCTATACCTACAGAGCTTCTCCTTCCTCCTTTTAGTGCCTCATGCTCTCTTCAAAAGCTTGGTAATTTCTAAGGCCTCCTACCTGCTCTTCCTTTGCTTCACTGTAAAATTAGTTATTATTTTCATTAGCTATATGAAAACATGCCAGACCCACATTGCTGTAGACCAGGTAAACATACTCTGAGCGTTTTTGATGTAATTAGTTGTACTATTTAGTAGCCGAACATGTAACAAACAATAAAATAGTCTATCGTAAGTGTTCACCCCACCATTTTTCCTGATGTAAAAATTCTTACCTCCACAGACAGAGCTCCTCTCCGAGTGCCTCTGACAATTGATGGGCCTTGCAAAACATCTGGGAGGGTTTCATAACATGCCTGGAGTGTTGCAAGCACCCTTTTCCCCCCGGGGCCCTTGGGGCTGTGAGGGAGTGGGTATGGTTACACAAACAAGCCTGGGTGAGGAAAGCAAGGGTGTGGGTTGGCTGTCAGCTCCTCTACGGTAACTGTCCACCCGCTTGCCCTTGCCCCACGGTGAGTTTCTCTGCAGTGAGTTGGGGCGAGCTGCTCCGAATTTGGGCCGGAAGGAGAGAATTTGCCTGGGCAGTTGGGGCAGAGGAGGCGCCTTCACAGCCCGGCTTGCGCCCAGGAGATTGCATGTGTGCCTGTGCCTTCAGGCGGGAAGCGTACCGCAGCCTTTCCCTGGAAAACTGCCCGGTGCCGTAAAGATTTTGGGAGGCTCTGGTGAGCTCTGCTCATCAGCAGATTGTTGGGAGGGTAGACCTTAAACCGTGAAGAAATTCAAAGAATGCCTCTTCTCACCCATTTGCAAATCCGGAGCTGGCTGTTTTCCAGTGCACCGTCTTTGGGTTGAAACTTCCCATGCTGCTTCTGTCAGCTCCAGCTTCTGGCATGAAATCGCATCCTTTGAAAAAAAGGTGCCTGAAAGAAACAGTGCTGCTTCACCATACTCTGGAAGCAAGAGTTTCCTGGCGACTGCGCCGTAGACCTGCCAGTGCCTTGAGGTCTAACCGTGTCTCAGGGACTGATGGTCTTCTGCCGTGGCCAGGAGTGGGCCCGTGGGGGTGAGGGGTGCGAGGGTGCCCCGGGGGGGCCCTGCCTCCGTTGCGGGAGGGGAGCCAGCAACTGCCTCCCAGATGGATGTTGCTGGCTCGCCTGGGGACCAGCACAGCCCCTTTCTTCAGCAGGACACGGGGGATCCTGGGTAAGCATCACGAGTTCCTACCTAGGAAGTCTTTGCTCTCAGAGCTTCCTCCTTTTGGCGTTTTGATGTGTGGGATTGGTGGCGTGTTGTTTTCCAATCTATGTTCACTATACGGCACTCGGGGTGCAGGTGCTTGGCACTAGCCCGGCAGCACCGTTGCGAACGGTGGCCTCTCACACCGTGTTGGTGTCACCTCCACACTTGACAGCTCTTCCATCTGCTTCCCACGGTGCGCCGTTATTTTCCTCCTCCTTACCCAGACTTCTCACCTGGACTTCAACCAAGCACCTTCACGCTCTCCTGCCCATACGGTGTCACTTGTTCCACTGGCTCTGAGTCACCGAGTTGATCATCCTCCGTCCACTGTTGCTCCCTTGAGCAGTCTTACAGAGGCCTCCAGTATATGCATTACACAGGGTAGGTTGCAGCAGGATCTTTCAGTGCTAGGTGAGCAGCTGGTTAATGTGATTTTTGAATTCTCTCGTATACAATGTGTGTGGCACCACCACAAAAGCAACCTCCGTTGGTGGAGGCAGAAAATGAAAATCAAGATCAGCAGCTCAAAGCCAGCCATGGTTTGGAGAAGGTAACCGGCTGTTGAGAGTGATGCAGTTTCTTCCATAGAAATAAGTAAATAAACAAAATAATTGCGATGTTTATTTGGATATGTGTTAAAATGTCAAAACATTTTCACCACAATTACGCAATAAACTGAACACCTCTATAAATATGCCTGAGGCTTTTCTGCTCCCTTATTTACTCTTTGAAAACTCTATATGGCAGTCAGTTATAAAACTAAATTTGCAACTAGAGCTGTACAAACAGAGCTGGATTTGGGACTTCGTGATGAGTCTGGCAAAGAAGCCTCTGGGAAAGGGAGTTTTGATCCAGCCGAAATGGAAAATACATATATTTTAAAGACAAAACAAAACGAAACCAATTTGAGACCTTTTTTTTTTTTTTCTGAAAGCAAAATATTTGGTGAAGGTATTTTCTGCCTGAAGATCTCTTAGTGTTTCAAACTGGGGTGAGTTCATCGGACGGCCGCCAGTACGGTCAGGCGTTGCCTGTGAGGCTGCACTTGCCCCATGAAGAAACGATGAACTGGGGCTTGTTCAATCTGGGGGAAGAGGTGGCTTTGGGGGATGATGAGGGCCCTGAAGGCCCCCCAGTACATGTGAGGAGGTCATCAGGAAGATGGACCCAGACCCTTCACAGTGGTGCATGGTGGGGGGACATGAGACAACGGGCAAAAATTGAGAAAGGAGGGATTCAGACTGGATGTAAGGGAAAACATTTTCGCCATTGCCCAAAGGGGTTGTGATGTCTCTGTCCTTGCACATTTTCAAAAGCTGACATGTTCAAGCCCTGAGCAACCTGATGTGATCCCACAGCTGACCCCACTTTGCGCAGGATGTTGGACCAGAAGACCCCCTGGGGTCCCTTCCAACCTGAATTGTCCTATGATTCTATGAAAAATACAGTCCAGTTTTGAAATAATAATAGCAAAATCCATAAATTTTAAAAAGCTGGATTTTAACTAATTATTGAATCATCTAAAGGACTAAATATATAAAATGTCATTTTTATCAACCTTCTTAATGAAACTATTTTCAGAGAATTCTGTATTCTTGCTAATTTGATTTTTCAGACAGTGAAATGGAAGAACTGATATAAGTTGGTCAGTTTTTACTATTTTATTTCTCTCTTAGGGGGAGACTAATTGAACTTTCCCACATTCTTTGGATTCAGAATTTCAAAATTGACACTGCAGAATAAACACAAGCAAAGTTAGGACCATTAAACTTTAGAAATGACTTGCTAAAAATTAACGTATTGTTTTAAAGATTGTATACAGTTTCATTGTGACAGCATCTTCCCAACAAATTACCTTCTGTTTTGCGAATTCAACTGATTCTTTACTGCTACAGCTTCCAGAAGGAAGGTGAAGAGAACGTGTAGATGTAATGTGGAACTACAAACCCCAAATGTTGTAATCTGCTGTGTCTATAGAGGTGGAGTGACATAAGATAAGACGACTAATTTTTCTACCTTGTGGCTCTGATGTGGTTATCCTGCTGAATATTGTATTCATTTTTTGGTTGTTTTGTTATCAGGAAAAAGCTGACAAGTTTCATGTAGCTACAGCAGGTGGGACAAATTAATGTCTAATAAGAGGAACGGGTAGTTTGGCTAAAATAAAGCAGTAAACTTTTGAAGTACCGGAGTCCTGGAACCACTACAATAGAAGAAAACATCTTCATGTGTTTTGTCGAGAAATACAGCAGATACTACCTCAGACTTTGTTTCGCTAGGATGTATTAATTGAACAATGTTTACTCTCCTTTTAGGTACTATGATATATCAGGCAGACGCTATACTGTTCCAGAAAACCAAATACCATCAGTAATCTGTCCACACTCTTACGTTCTTCCAGCGATATCAATGTCTACTGCCTCATTACCAGCAGCTCTTGGAAAGGTAAGAGAAAACTAAATATATGTGTTTATATAAAATATATATATACACATATGTATACACACACTTACGTATATCATAAAGAAAATGAATATTCTGAAAACAGATTTTAACACTGGGTATAATTGTAATCTTCCTTTAAATGACCTGTGTTTGAAGTACTGGAAACTTTTCAAATTAATATAATATACGGAAATAAGGAAGGTACATAATGATGATAGCTGGCATGAAAAGCCAACAAAAGAAGTGGCTCGAGGAGATCTTCCACATGCTCTCACAAACCATATGGCTTTTTCCTTTTGTTCATAAAATATATATAAGCAAAATAATAAAAGAATAGCACCTACACTTTTACAGTGTCTCACTTAACCTGTACTGTTTGCTATGTTAAGTTTTATTCCAGAGAAGGAGAAATGGCTACGCATTCATTTTCTAGTGTTCATTTAGCTCATGTAGTGTTACTCATTTGCTTGGCAGCAGTATTACTGCATGGAAGCAAGCTAGGGAAAATGCTAATTACTTCTGTTCTAATGTGAGAACTTAATTTCAGATTGCAGACAAGGTTGTGCAATGCCATTCTTGTCTTTATTGTAATCTTTCCATGGAGAGAGAAATACTTTTTTTTTTTTTTTCCACATTAACAAAAGTACACAGCAGGCCAGTAATTGAAAAAGTTCCTTTTTTCTTGGTTGTGGAACTAATACTCATCTGAATATATTTGATGAAGTCTTAAAATATTCTGTCTTTGAAACAAATAAATTTATTTTCTAGTCTTCTCAAGCCAGAAAAATCTCAGCTAATTTCTATATGAAGCCTCTGAAAAACACTCATTGGTCTTTAGTTGAATACACAAATAATATAAATCCCAAACATCCCTTGTGGTCTCCTTCAGCATCTTGATTCTATTGATACTGTAGAAACATGCCTACAGAAAGAGCTCAGTTCTTCACAGTTACAAAACAGCAAAATGGTTCTGTAAAGTGATGGGATGACATTTCTATTACAACAGAGCTAGCTGGGGAATTAGCTGTCCAGCAGAAAAAAATTGCTGTTCAGCCTACTGCTGTCATGGATGGACTTGTATATTAACTCCTTACAAAGACTTCCCCTAGGAAGGCAACTAGATGTTTGATTTTTTCAGTGGAAATTTAAGAATGGTAGGATTCAGCTGTTATTTAGTGAGTTTTGAGTCGACATTGTGTTGCTGGTTTGGAATAAATTGTTCATACTTACAGCTAAATTAAACTGTTGGGGTGTCACTCCTCTAACCTGGAAGGAATCCATATGTACTAAGAACGTTTAAGAGTCTTTAAACGAAGCATCTAGAAGACTATCAGAGCAGGCCACATCATTTTATACTTTGATGCATAACACAATGGTCTCATTGTTAGATAAATCATAAAAGTCAAGGAAATTGTGTGTGGGGGTGTATGTGTGTGTGTGAATTTGGCAGTTTCTTCCACACTGGGATAATCTGCTAATGTGTGTAATAATACAGAGTCACCTGCTGATGATAGATGGTTTATGGGAATTGGGATTTAATGAAGCCCTGCCTTCCCTCAGCATTTCTTGTGGGAGAGCAGTAGAAAACGGTGCATGACACGGAACATAAGCTGTTTGCACCAGGCTCCTCTCTGTTGATGTTCTCTCTATGGAAATCTGTTCATAAGCCCTTCAAAGGTGAATGTAGTAAGTACAGTCTTGCAGACTAATTTACACAGCCTAATTTGTATTATCCTCTGTTTTTGCCTAATTTAGGTTATTCCCTTTACCTCGGATAATTAAGAGCTGACTCCAGCAATGACTAAAACAGACAAGCTCTCCTGCATTCTTTTATTAATTAAACAGTCTTCCTAAGAAACCTTGCTTATCAGTCTCTGGAGCATGTTAACATTTGGCTTTGTTTTCTGGGGAAAAAAAAAAAAAAAAAAAGTAATTTTATTTTGATACTTTCCCTTTCCTTTTTATAGTAGTGATCATTGAACGATGGAGTTCACTTTAACTTAAATTCCCTTCCACTCGGGCAGTTCGTGTCTAATAGTCAGCAGAAGATCTAAAATAGCCACTCCCTTAATGGCTTTCTTCACCTTCTGAAGAAAAAGCTGTCCCCAGCATATTCCAAGAACTTGTTGGACTGTCTCTGTCTTGTATTTATTTTCCAACAGAAAAAAAAAAAAAAATTAATTCCAAGAAGTAATTAAAGCCATCAGGCTCTGTCCTTTTGGATGCTTCCCTTGCTTGATCAAAAAACAGTCTTCCCTCCACCCAATTAACTAGTGTATAATAAACTTCTATCATAATATACCCTGGTTTTCCCCTTTCATCTTCTTCCAGGATTGTTTAACAAATCTTCATCTTACCTATTCTAGTACTTCACAGCAGCTGTCCTTGATACACAGTGCAACTTTGTTTCTCTTTCTTTTTGTTTGACTTTCATAAATAGTGGTGGTAAACCAGGAAGAAATCAAAAAATGTTTTAAATCACTTGTTTGATAGTGTTGCTCAGTGAGTAAATGTTGTGTTGCCCAAAGTATAAGGCAAAAATATTTCCTCTCACTACATCGTTTTAGGAAAAAAGCGATATCCTTCTATACCAATATTCTTTCTCATAAGATTCTTCTGATGTTGATTCAGATGTACTTCTAGTTCTGTACAAAGATTTCCACTTTCTTCCCTTTGCAGGGAGATCTGGAATTTATCACTGTTTTGCTGACAGCTTATGATTCAAACAACTGAAAATGTCAGCTATATAACAATGAAAGTTAGATTTTAAAGTGCTCTTATCAAATATATAAATAGCATATGATTATTAAATAGATTTTTAAGTAATTAATAAATTATACAAATGTAAATACACATTTCATTTTCTTGACCCTTCTAGTCCTGCAGTATTTAATGTGAAAAGCCTATATATTACAAAAATGAAGGTTAGCAGTTTCTCTTTTGGTATTTTGGCAAATAGAAGTTTGGTAACACACTATCAAATACTACAAAAAAACCCAAACCAGAAGTAATTTCTAGATGTCACTTCTGCAAAATACGCTATTTCTAGATTTCTAAAACTCAGCTTATACCTTTTCCTTTCCTCAGTGCATTGCATCCCTGGTTACATTTGCGCAATCCAGTTTTGCTCCGTGGTTCTACTAGGAGGGGTATTTGGTATCTTCGAGTTTGTTTGCAAACGAAGGCAAAATAGTCCACACAGAAGATTATTTGAGCTGTCATATAACCTGTGCTACATGAAGTAGATAGCTGTGGCCATAATTTTATGACTTTTGTTTTTATATCTTTAAGATTGTTTAATTAATAAAACAATGTGGCCAGTGTTCGCACTATGAATGAAGAAACAACTTCCTGAATGTTTGATTAGTTCCATTCTCTTTGAATAAATAATAATTACATTTGAGGACCAAATCACAGATAAATGTATATTTTGCAGTCATACATCTTCAATAGTTACAAAATACTAATACCAATTGAGAAGGAGTCATACCTGTGATATGGCAAACTCAAAGTACCTTAAATGATGTAGTTAAAGACAAATAGTCTTTAAGCTGATAGGTTTCTGTATAGTTAAGCTGAAAGGTCTTTATTCCTGTAGAGGACAATTTCAAATTTAAATTGGCTTCTGCTGATAGTAAAATGAGTGAATGAAAAGAGAGTTCTTAATCCTTCATTACTTATACATTTCCTGTGCACTAGGAATAATGATCACAAAAAAATATAGACTTTAAAATTCCAGGTGAGATATTTATGTCTGAACAGTTTTTTTCTAAGTCACATCTATATGCTCTAATGCTGTCTCTCCTCTTATATTCAGGTGTTGATTAGTCATATTTTGAGACCTATAACCAGGTACCTGTCTAAAGGTTTCTCAGGATTCTCCATCTAGATAAGAGTTCTCACACCTACTTGCTACCTGAACATAGCCATTGCCTTTCACACAAAGATTCAGTCCTATGACATGAATATTTAACGAAGGAAACTGGGTGGAGTACTTCTTACACCCAGGTGTGGCTGTGGAAGCCCATTTTGATTCTGTGTCAAATTACTGGATTAAATGAGTTTATTCTATCACTGCCATTGCCATATTCCTGAGACAGCAGATATGCAGATCCCTAATTCCTCCTGCTCTTTTAACTCATCTTTCAAGACGATAGCTCATCAAGGTCTAGGATATTTTCAGGATGGGGTTCCTCATCTGCTTCTTTAATTTAATTCCTACCTTGATCAGAGAAATGTTAGCAAGACATCCTGTCCAGGTCCTCGTACTGTTTCTCTTTACAGTGCTTTATTTTCTCAAGAAATAACAAAACCTGAAGTCTATTTGGGATCGTACAGGGTTACGAAATCACCTCCCAGAGTGATGTTTAAATAGTAGAAACAAAGCATTTTATACTGCCATTTGATAAACTTCCAATACCAAGCAAGTGAGAAGGCAGGTGAGCCACTTTCCAGAGTAACAGACAACAAAATTACCAGTCTGTGGATAGGTGAGAGGAGCCTGCCCTGAGGAGAACAAGTCTTTGCCTTAAGGTTCACCACAATTTTTAATAGATAAAGCCTTTAAGTGGTTAACTGATCTTCTCTCAAAACCTGAGACTGAAAGAAGAGAAGGGATCCTTCTCCAGCTTGGAGTCAGAAAGCTAAAGAGAACCCTGTAGCCAAAGTCCTGTGAAGCGAGTCATGCAGGGACTGAGAATATTTGCTGGTGTAGGTTGTCTCAAAGGAGAAAAAAACCCCACCAATTTCAGGAGACCACTAACCTGCCTTGTGCAAAGACTTGAAGGGGAAAAAGGGGAAATTATATCACACTGTAGGATTTTTTTTCTTTTGAGGTGAAGGGCAGGTATAGCAAGGCTGTCACCTAAGAGGGGTCTAGGTGAGGCAGGGGGTGGGCTTATTCTTTTCTTTTAAAATCTGGATAGGTCCTCAATGTTTGGAATAGGTTATGCCTTTCCAGCTAATTAAATGTTGCAGCAGGACAAAGTTTTATTGTATTA